ACACGGGCCAGAGTAAACAAGCCCGCATAGCTGGTATACATAATTTGATCGGTGCTCACATTAATATTAATCGTATCGTTCTTCACTTTTAATTCCCACCTCTCCATCTTTGTTTTTACTCTTCTTTTTCCTCGCTTCGCTCTTTCTCTGTTTCTCCTTCTTTATTCGTCGTTTTTCATTTCTTCGTTAAGACAATAATCGCCGGTTGCTAGGCGCGAAAATGTAAATAGGAAGTACGAGGACAAAGGAAATGGAAATCTTCGACAGCCGCGAATATAATAAGACCATATTCCGTTTTTGCAACGTAACGAAGCCTCGTCGCGACTGCGAATGGAAATTCTACTCGAATGGCCGCGTTTTTCAATGCGCCGCGAGGTTACGCGACACCTTACCAAAGGTCAAGAGGTTCTCTATGAACGCAACGCTTGGTCTCTTTGCAATACCAAGTGTCGCCACGGCGTATTCGATTAATTCACGTTCACGGTTTCTCTGAAACGATTGTCAAAGGTGTCTAGTAAGTACATATTTCATAGGCGCAGAGGATCGTGAGACGTTGAGGGAAGGAATATCGTATTTAAAAATTTACTTTCTCTACGATGTTTCACACCTGTGGCTCGAGAAAGTCTACAATGTGGCTATTTAGAGATGGACACGTAAGCGTAGACGTTAGCGTAGATTTAATCGGCCAGTCACGTCTCTGTAACTTGATTGCAAGCAACCGGAAGTCGGGCGAGAAGTTCCTCGCGTCGGGGCTCGTTCCCTCGAAATACCGTTTAGTCTGCCATTCGATTTTCCTGTCATCGACCTTCTTCGATCCAGGATCCTTGAATAATTGAAATAATTTCCATCGAACAATTAAAATTTAATTAACTTCTTCGAACGAATCTATTTAAACCGAGTTGTAAATAAGTGAGCAGGCATTTTCTGCCTCAAGGCAATTATCAAAAGAACGTCGTCCAAACGTGTCGAATAAGGTCAGCCTTGCTCAACGCGATTCTTCATTGAGTCAGCATTGTTGACCAGTTAAGGAACAGTTCTAGCGCGTTCCCTTTCTTCATGGCCACCAAAATCGAGTAAACCCAATTGAAAATGGCCTGGTGACCGAGAGATCCATAGACGAGGAACGTCTAGGACGAGTTACGTCTACCACGCGGGAGAACGCGACCCTTGGTGACGTCAGCCTCCTCGTCGCCTCTCTGGACTAATATGGCCAGACCGATCGGTCCCTCGGGGCCTGTTCGTGTAGGTAGCCCAACGAATCTTTCTACTCGTAGAAGAGGTATCAATTCTCTGCAGTCCTAGCTAGATCTAGATCAGGGATGTACCATTCTTTTACAAAGGTATAAAAAACTACAGTATACTACAAACTAGTATAAAGAAACCCCCATCGTAACATTTCACACCAAGAAATGCCGATGCTTGATTTTTGGAAATGATGGCATCAGTGCCTATCCATGATGTCGGCATCATTTCCAAAAATTAAGTTTACACGCCTAGGGTGCAATGAGGCTTTTTTAAAAGTCAAAATGTAAAATCTTTGAAGGGTCGCACGAGAAACTGTGGCGGGCCGCGGGTTGCTCATCCCCGATCTAGATAATTAAATGAAATGTTTTGTTGAGTTTAGTTTTCGCTATGCCTACATAGCTAAGTCTAAGCTTCGCTCTCTTTCACCGAATCTACAGAAAGTAAGCGCTACGAAACCTCCACCGAATTCACTTAATAGCAATGAAGAAGGATCGGCAAGATTAATCGCCGAATTCCACTTACTCTCGTTGGTTGGAGAACGCTGGCAAGTGGAAGTTAAAGCGATCGTGCATCGCGTATCGGCGATATTAATTTCTTAGAACCGTTCATATCTCATGTCAATGAAAACGGGTCGAAAAAAGGGGTAAAAAGGAGGGCGTTCACTGGTTCCTCGACCACACTACCGGTTGGGCGAGTCGAAACCAGCCACCGCGAAAGAGGCTCGAGGCTTCTGGAACGCCAGGCTGCAGCCTCGTATCTGAAATCAACGATGCTTATAAACAGAGAGAGAGAGAGAGAGAGACTCTCTCTTCATCCTCGATAATATATTCGAGATCATCAACCATGAACATCGCAACAACCGTGTCTCGATGCTCGCGCCTTTCAATATTCCAGTAATTGGCCTTTTCGTTCGTGCATCGAATTACTAGGACAAATTTCCGCTTATCAATTTCCATCGGCGTAGGAATTAATTGGAACGAGACTTCGATGATAGGTTCGTCGATTTCCGCCATTTTTCGCTGCAGGGGTTGGTCCAGACCAGTCCGTGGGATGCTGCGCAGATGTACTTCCGCGCGAGCTGCACAAAGAGAAAACGTGTTTCTGATTGGAGCGGCATCCCTCGTTTCAGGGGTTGGTTCCTCCCTTGCCATTTGGCATTGCGAAAATATGGCCTGTCCTTCATTTTGGGAAACTGCGACTACACAGAGTAACGTCAGTCCGAATCTTTGTTCGTATAATTTATAATTATAGCATTATCAGGATATTCCTGAGGAAGTAGTCGGGATATAGTTATTTACTCGTAATACCTTTTCCGTGATAAACAAGTAGACTTGGCGAAATTATTTTAAAAAAGGATATCTTGAAATGTAGGCGGAAAAAGAAATGAATTTCCTTAGCATAAGGGAGCGAAAATTGATCGTCCGGAGTCTGAATAACCGTATAGAGGGGCAGACGCAGAGATTCGGCGACGACTGCGCAGGATTCCTCTCTCGATGCGGTGTATCGCAGCGTTTGCCGTTGGCCAACCCCGTTGCGTCGAGGCCAGAGTTAAAGGGTGGCAGAGGGTGCGGTCTTCCTTCGTAATCAATACCAGTGCCGGCTTGGCCTCGGTTTCCCAGCCAGGCGAAATCCTGCGGACGTCCCCTCGTGGGCCACCCTCACGAATTTTTCTTCTTGTCGTCACCGAGTCAGCAACCCTTATCGTTTCAAGGCTTTCGTCGCCGGTGTCGTGACAGAACCGACCCCTACCTTCTTCAATCATAATGGACTATTGCAATAATAATATCAACTGGTGCTGATAGTAAATTAGTATCATCTCGATAAGTTAGCCATTAAAGTAATAACGGTACGCAAATGCGCCTTCCATCCTTGTCTAATCATCAAACAAGTATACAGTATACTTGTTAGTATACTCTTAGAACAGCGTGAGACAGAAACGACATTGTTCTCTAGCGACGTACTCGTGAACCTGACAAAGTTTGGGAAGTTAGCCAAGGTTCCTAAAGAGCCTCTCTTTGCAACGGGTCGGTTGCAGAAAACGAGAGAAACAACAGCAACCGAGCATGCACGGATGTGTGTTCTCGTTCGTTTTCTTCGAGGACGCTTCCTGAAAGGCGAGACCGCTAATTGCATAAATGATTCTCACGGGATGATCGTAATTATACGAGGCGCACATTTACTCTTTGCCGTTGCCTTCGAGAAGCGTAAACGCAGACGCGTGGGACTTGCGTATACTATGAAACTCGGCCGCTTAGCGTTGCTTAAATCATTAATTAGTGCCGCACGCGCTACGCTGCACCCTTGTTAAAACGCAGAATTTCGTGATGTACGAGCAAGCTCTATCTGCAAGTATAAACGTGTTTTTTCAATTTCAGAGTATCAAATTGTTTTTTCTATAAAGTTATTTATCGTATGTTACATAACTGTCCTTTGTCCATGTTTTTTACATGGGAGAATAGGGTTCTAATTGCAAGTTAGGTTCTCCTTATCGTTAGTGTTTCCCTAGTTTTTCCCTAGGCTCTCCCTAATCGTAAGTTCTAAGATCATAGAGGGTTCATCTTTCTACACTTACCTCTAACTAAGAAAAACCTATATTAACCTCTTAACTTAACAATTATATTATAACAAGTCTATTTTGTCCGAGTATTCTCGGGCTTTTTAATATTTAATTGTAAGTATACATATTTTATAAGACCCGATCATCGTCATTTGGTAGTTTTCAATGCAACACATACCTTGACTAACCTACACTTGGGATCTCCATAACACATTACCGACGGAGCATTTTTAACGTATATTTCACTGAAACGAGAATTCTCGTTTCCCGTCGGTAATGTGATAAGAATTTGAAAAGTTTGAAAACGCATGTATGTATACCTTTATAAAAGGAATGGGACAAAAATTTCAAACTGTTTGCAGCATTTCATGAACGTACAACGTCCGGTGAACCCTTTCTCTGATTTATTCTATTTATTCCTTACGAGTGAGAGTTAATTTTATTGTAAACACGCTGGCAGTGAAATATGCAGCACGCGGCGTTGCCAAATAAACGGTGCGTACGAAAACCCTCGAAATTCCATTCGAAATTTTTCCAACGAAAGTGGAAAGTATGTCTGGGACGTGGAATCCAGTGTTCTTAGCAGTTTCTACGTGACAAGAACCCTGATTCCTAGAAACAATTTTTCTATATTGACTTACTAAACATAACGCGAAGTATTTTTACGCTATAGCCGTGTGCATCTTCTCTGTTGCGAATTTATTTTCGCCGTCATCGGTGATTTGCATTGATGACACTTTCAAGGCTTTCTTTGTTGACATTCGAATGCATTTCGCATCGTGTCTACGTGAGATTCTCTGCGACGCATCTTTTCCGATTATTCCGCCGCAACGAACGCACCATGCTCCACTAAGATTGCACAATCTGTCGGCGCCTCCCCTCAACAAAATACCAAAATGATGAGAATGCACCTATGTCTCACGGGCTACTGACCGACCAAATCGTGCAGGAAAACGTTTCTCTTCGTTTTATAAGCCTGTTAATGCATTCTTAATGATAGCCCTTTCTGCTTACCGGAACTTCCATTTTTAAGTCTGATTGAACGAGTCACAAAACTGACCCCTTCAATCAGATCATCGTTCAAAGATTATGCAAATTATTTTAATGAACATCCAGTCCTTGATCATTAATTTTTTCTGCAATTATTCAAAGATTCTTCTTTAATATTTTAAGTAATACAAGTACTTCATCGGTTAAGGTAATATGAACGGTGTATATTGCAAAAAGACCGCCGCGACCATAAAGCGCTCAGCCATCTAGCAGGAGTTCATTGAAACTATTGACAAAATCGGTAAAGAAGTTAAAAAAGAGATAGAAGAAAATCGATAGATGGCGGCTAGGTTTAAATGATTGTCGCGGCCCTCGACATCGGTCCGGCAGAAGTTTTTATTTCGCGTATTTCGCGATCGGGTCATCTGAAGGATCGAAATGTCAGAAATTCGGCAGGAATCCTCGAGCTTGTGTAATGTCAGCCAGAAGTGACGCATCTGCGCTTTTCGCAGCGCGTACTTCACGCAAAACGATGCCAAAAGGATAAATTATGCCTCGAAAAGAGAACACGTAAGTGTCCATTAGCTGATTTCTAACCTTACCGTTCATCTGGAGGATCTTCTTCCTTATTTTATTCTCACGTCATATTCTATTGAAAATGAACAAAGTGATTGTTAACGTGAACGTCTTCTTAGCAAAGCGAAAACATGGGAGCGAGACAGAAGAAAACGTATGAACACATACTTCAAAACTTTGGCAGATCTTTTGCCGCCGAATCAGGAGGGTCGGAAACGGAACAAGGTCGACATCCTGATCCAGGCCTCAAAGTACATCAAAGACCTCCATAACCGTACCGAGGAATTGTTTTTGGCTCATGCTTCGGAAGCGCACAGTAAGCAAGCGACATGGCTCTTAAAACAGAAACCCATGATTTCTGTTCATCTTTCTGATGTTTCTATTATTCCTTACACCTAGAGGAAGAATTGGCCCGTCTGAAAAAGCTTGTGACTCAGCTTTTCTCTCGTACCCAGTTATTATCTACACTTTTAAAGGAAGCTGGAATATCTGTACCTGCAGAACCGGCACTTGAAAAGATATCTCCTTTAAAATGGTCTAACAAGATCAATGTAGAAGATGCAGAGAACTACTTCAATAAAGTAGAAGAAAGTAAGGATATCGGAAAGGATCTAATTAAAGTGAGAACAGTTGTAAGGGTTTTGGGTGTCTGTAAAAAATATTTGGTTTCAGTAAAAAGCTCTGAAAGCAAGAGGGAAAAGTCTGCAGAACTTAAAGTGCCTTCTAAAAGGAAATCAGTTAATTCTTCTAATTCGTCTAGTAAAAAGTTAATGGAAAATAGCAACGTTTCTAAGGATGTGAATAACTCCATTGAGAATCAAGAGAATGAAGCCCACTGTGTAAATAGTAAAGACGATAATGCTGATGCAACAGGCAATGTATCAGAAACTGGTTCGAAAGAATCGGAATGCTGCCAAACTAACACAAGTAAATACCTCTTCGTACCCATATATTAAGTACTTGGCTAGATATTTTACTATTGGTTTTAATTAGGTTCCAATGTAGCGGTCTCTCGTCCCGTGAACGGTAAAACAAACAGTGGTAGGTATGAAAAGATCTCATGCAAGATTACGGTATCTTGTAAAGCTTATAAAATAAAATTTATTATTGTCAGCATTGCAGAAAGTAGAATCCCAGAAAAAGGTAAAAAGGAAAACGAAAAAGAAGGACGAGAAAAAATCGTCAACGCCATGTGTAAATAATTCGGTAACTAGTCTGACTCCAAACACTCTCATTTTGTCCGGCGGTAAATTAATGCCTCTGGTAACTCCTATGACATCAAATATCATTGTAAATACTCAACAACAACCTGCGAATCCCATAATCCTTGGTAACGCTCAACAAAATCAAATGATCGTTATGCAACCGTTGACGAATCGTGTACAAAATCCTGTCGTTTCAATTTGTAATCAAACCTTAATCAATACTGTACAAAAAGTTACGTTGAACACGGTGCCAAGCATCCGCGCTAACATGGTCGTCGATTCCCAGAATTGGGCGTCGAATGTAAAGAATATAATCAACGCGACAAAAATCGGTGGTCACAAAGGTATCTTGCCAAAGGGTAAAGAAGTTACGAAAACTACAATGACCTACAAAGTTCCTATTCCGGCTGTCCATAAGGAAAAATTGGAGAAATCGAAAGAACACACCACTAAGAAAGACACTGACGTTAAATTAAAAGTTAGTAAGAATCATACTAAAAATGTTAAGAATCAGCAGGCTGCAGAAACAACGGAAAAGAAAAATGAAAAAGAAAAGAGCGTGGAAAGTACTGAGAATCAAAAAGGATCCCTTAAGCGTCCTTCAAATGCGGAAGCTGACTCCACAGATGAACCTGTCGATAAAAAACGGAAGATTAATGAAAACAGTGAAAGTACCGTTCAAGTACAGACAGTATCTGTTTCAAAATCAGATTTTACCGTGACCTGTAAATCCATTGAAAGCTTAAAGCACGTGATAGAGAAGATAGGCGAAGATACGAACGAAGGAAAGGAGAAAGGTAATTGTCCTGCTCAATCAGGGGACAAGGAGTCGTGTAATGAAACGAACGTAGAGTGTTCGGTTTTATTGAGCACCAATAGTGTAAACCAGGAAGACGTCAATGATTCTTTAAAGTCTGCAGACGTGTTAAAACAGGACAGCGTTCAGAAAACCGCAGACACCTCATCGCCAGTCACTTTCACAGAGGAGCATCTGAAATCTAGCAGCGAGACGATAGCAATTTCTCCTGAAACAGGCTTCAATATTCCTGTAGATGATACGTTAGAAAAGTCCAATAACGATAGTGGTCGTTCCAACTCTAAATCACCTTTGACAGAAGTTGAAGAGGCGGTCGAAGAGTCTGCAGAATCTAAGAAGATGAAAGATGTGTGTAATCTTGGCACAGAGTTTGACAATCTGTTAGAAGTAACACCTAAAGAGGCGGAGGCTGTTGAAGGAACAACCAACTTGGAGAGCAATAAAATTATTCTGAATCTTGATACAAACACCACGACGACCTTAAAGCCAGAAACTAATACTGCAGTTCAGACTTCAGACGCTGCAACGTCGTCGTCGTCGTTGCTTCCAGTGAACATAGTAGAGGATGACTCCAAGCTTATTAAAACATCAAAAGATGAAGTATCGAAGACATCTCTGTCATACAATACAGAAAATTCTTTTGTGCCTATTGGCAGCAGAGCTGACGGTCTTCACTCGGACCTCTCGAACGACATATTTGCCTCTCTTCAAGTTCCTTCAAGTTCGCACAACCCAGAATCAATATCTCCTACCGCAGCATTCCTAATGGCTTTTCCATTGGTATCCTCGTTAAATGGTAAAACTGAGGTTCTGGAAGAGGAGATGAAAGAAGACTTCAAGTACCACAGTCAAACTCCACCCATGCTGCTGCAGATTGGAGCCATGGAACCCAACAGTTTCAAATTAAAGACTACATCTCCCTCTCATGCTATTGCTGAGAAACGTCTGAAGGTGAATTACGAAGAAAAGAAGAGTGTGAATCCCCCTGTAACCGAGGCAGTGAACTCGGACCTGATTGTCTCTGTAGAATGCAGTACAACCACGAAAGTCCTACCCAAGGTGGTGAGCAACGAACCTCTTAGAGAACCTTACAAGATCGTGCAAAGTGTATTGGCACCTTCTTTGGAGAAGCCTGCTTCATCGAGCTCCTTCTCTCAGACCCTGTACTCAATTGCAAGTGTATCAGGCACTACTTCAATTGCCACCAGCTCAGACACTGGACATAATTGTCAGAACCAGCTCACAACCAGCTTGCAGAATGCAATTACCAGCAGTGAAAACGTTGCTACTCAAATTGGCACTGTTTCTATATCTAATAAAACAGAGCAGACTAACTGTCCAGTTCAAGCATCTACCTGTGACACTAATGTCCGGTATTCTAGCTCTCAAGATTTTCTATCAACCTACTCGACGATTGTTGACAACAATCTTCCCAACCTGCAGCAGAATTCAACAGTCTGCAGTAGTGCATCAATTCAGGAAACAAATTCTGCCTCACTGAATCAGAATGTAACAGCTGATGTATCTCAGGCACCCATGGTTCCTCATTTGACTAACACAACAACCACCACAAATTCTACATCTTTGCCTTTGCAGTCCATGCAGATGGATTACACGTCCCAGATGAAGGAGAAAAATTCTGATAGTTCTCGTATAGCCTATGAGATCCATGGTAAGGATCCTCTGATAGATTCCAATATTGTGCCCAACAACAGACTCAATTACACTGGGCACATAGACAGAGTTCTTCCAACATCCTCTCAGAACATCCAGCAAGAGTATTCCATGCAATCTAAAGATGCTTCTCTATCTGTTCTATCTTCACAAGGTATGCAGACCGTTTACGAATCGCAACCCAAAGACACTCATGTCCTGTCCACGCAGCAGAATACTCATCAGAGTTACACGGTGCACGAGAAAGATCACATTATTCAGAATACCCATAACGATTACACAGTGGATCAAAATAAGAATCTATCTCGAAAAGATCCGATACCGTACTCGTCGGGAAACACAAGCGCGTCCAATAGAAATCAAAGTTATTCTACGAAGGAGTCGATGCCAAACTCCTCTGAAGCTCATTTTCAACGCAGCTTTCCAAAGATGACCAAGGATTCTGATTCTTCGGTTACTAATGCAGAGCAGGATGCGAAGTTGAACGAGGTACTGAGGTCGAAACCGCAGGAACCACAGGATCATGGACGCGACACGAATTACACATCATCGAAGAAGATAGACGTTGATCCCTTTGTTCAGACGTTCTCGTACGGAGTGAAAGAGTCGATGAGCACGCAGGCTGATCAAAATGTATTAAATCAAAACACTGATAACATATTCCAAGGAAAGAGAGATGATGCTCAGAGTTATTCTAATTACTCCAATAAAGATACGAAGAAGATTAATACCAGTTCGTCGAACAATATGAACGGTAAACCTCTGATACAAAATACATCTGTTAGTCGTTATTCTCAGCAGTCGACTTCCTTTGTGGCTACCTCTAATTACGAGAATAGTACTGTCACCGAGAACCACGCAAAGTCGACAACCACTGTCGCTCATAATTCTTCCAATTTCAGTATCCTGTCGTGGACCACTTTCTCACCGGTTAGCGGAGGAGGTGGCAACAATCTTGTACAGTTTGACCAAGGGCCAAATCAAACAGACAACACAGAGGCAAAGACAATCTGTGAAAATTACAGTTACGTTCCTTTGCACAAGGAAAATTCAAGTTTCTCAAACGTTTTGAACAATGATGTCTATTCAACGAATTCATCAATGAATAATGTTGACAAGTCCAGGATGAAGACTGGAATGGAAGCACAGAAACAATCCTTCGTGGACCCGACGAAAACAAGAAATATTCAGACTAATGTCCCTGGCAAACAGAGTCGCATGCAAAATCAAAGCCAAACCTCGTCAGGTAACAATGATTACAACAAGTACGGTACGGAAAATAAAAATAAATCCAAGTATGGTATGGAGTCAGACTATATTCAGAATGAATATTCTGGAATGGATCAACAGCAGCAGCAACATGGACAGAAAAATCATCAGACCATGGCTACCAAACACGACAAAGCTGTATATCCAATGTCTGGTTATGATTCCCAGGTGAACTTTGATTTACCCGAAGTCAGCACCCAGATGAAGTACTCTGCGGAGGCTTATGCTGGCTCCAATTTTAAATACCCTGATAAATCACAGCAACAGAGTCAGGCCAAGTATCAGCCTCTAGTTCAGGGACAAATTCCTTCCCTTCAACACGACAGTGTCACGTACAATAACAGTGGTAAACATGGTCAGCAGCAGAGTGGTACAAAGTCAAAAGGAAATCAGCAGCAACACGCGATTAGAGCACCCGTGAATTGGATGATGACACCAGAAATTAAGCATAACACAAACATAGCTGACATCATTTTACCACCCATTGGTAAGGAGCTGGAATTCTGCCAGAATAATCTGTTTGCACAAACACCGTCCTACAATCAAGGAACGCCAAATCAGTTTTACAATAACTATGATGTCACCGCACATGGTTTCCCCAATTTACCGGTTTTGCAAGGTGAACCGAAGAGAACCTCAGAGGTGTTTTATTCAGAGGAACAACCATTTCCTTGGTCTCCTACAAAGACTAGCGTTCACGTTGAACAGAGTCAGTCAGTCAAAGGCATAGATCAACATATTGTCCCATCCAGTCTTCCAACCTTGGTCGGTGATCTGGACTTGGGTACCAACATACCCGAGAAACAGAACTTCCTGTTCAGTCAAGTGCCATCTAGGGTTCCACCCGATCAGAGCAAAGACCCTAATAAGGATAAAGAAGGGAACGTCGCAGGACGTGATTTTCATACTGTGCTGAATAATCAGACTGTTCAACACCCAGGGGCTGGATCCTCCTTCCTTTCTGTGAGTCAGCTGGTTGAACACGAGAAGGCTGAAAAATCCCATCAGCAGCATCACCAGCAGCAACATCATCATCATCATCACCATCACCATCACGCCCATCAACATCAACAGCAGCAGCAGCAGCAGCAACAACAACAGCAGCAGCAGCAACAGCAGGCTAGGAAACATCAGAGGAAAAGTAATGCTAGTCCTAGAGGCAACAGCAAACGTCAGATGGATATTCGAAAACAAAATTCAGGAAACGATCACCTGCATCAAAGGCACGAAGAGCAGAAGTCATCGGGTCATACATTCCCCGAACAAGGATATCAGCAGCAACAGAAATATCAGCAGAATAATATTCATTGGAGAAGTAGAAATTGTAAGAGCAATTATACCGCAGAGGCATTGATAGGAACTAATAGCAGTGTTCACGATACAAATCAAGATAAACATCCCTCCATCAAGTTCTCTACTAATTATTCTCAGAACAAGTTTCAAACCAGTTTGCCCACCGCAGACGCTGTCATGCCTATTAATTATTTCTCGAACGCAGACGATGGAAGTGGCTATGGGCAAATGGTCAATCAGAATTTCAATTCATATAGCTATTCCTCGAACACGAATATCTATCCTACTTCAAACTTCATCACCAGCATATCAAACACACCTACCAGTTACATGATGCCGTTGCACGACAACACCGACTACATGGAAGCAAACGCTTTCCTTTTATCAAATGTGACCGTGTCCTCGTCCAACTCTTCGTCAACTACGTCCACTGTAACGACTTCAACTTCCAATGTGAACAGCAATGCAAAGAATCATCAGCATTACGGGAAGCACCAGAACTGCGACAAAAGAACTTATTCCACTAACGTGAAGAAGGGGAAAAGGAAAGGTATCGATGGAACGATGCAGAACTTGGAATTTCCTCTTTCCGGTATCAATTCGCCGTTGGAAGATTATCATCATTCGACTACGTTTTTACCACCGCCTCCGCCACCGCATGCTAGCCCTCTTTATCAAAATCATCCACAGGCAAATGTGTACACAAAAGCTGTGAATGGATTACCACCTCCACCGTCTGTAGCCGGTCCTCAGGGTGTACCGACGGTGGCTACAGCTGGTTTCCCGATGAATCCAAACATGCCAAGGGGTGGAATCGTTGCCAGTAATCCAATGACTATGAGCCATCATCCCTCGGGCACTAGTCTCACCAACTTCAACTTGAGCACCATTTTTCCAGAGATGAACGATAAAGTACGTGGATCATTAGATCACCTTAATCCTGTATGCTCATTATATTGGGTTAATTGGATTATTTCTTAGATTACAGGATACAAGCCACCGAATGGTATACCTCCTGGTTTACCACAGCCATCGAACCAGTCTGCAGCTTATACGCAAAGGTCCAATTATCCAACGAATCCCCTCTGTCATTTGCCACAGGTTTGTTTCACAGATGAAGAAACAAATGTCTTGAAACTAAAGTAAAACGTTAATAATTGTGATTGTAAAATTCTTTCAGGTGTCCGAAGGAAGTCAGTTTGGTAATAGCATTCCTCCTCCTCCTCCTCCTCCACCTCCCCCTGGAGTAATCCATTACAAGAATGTGTGATAATGTGAGTATGATTGAGAAATGAATCGTTGATTAATATCAGTGACTGTACATATGTAAATAACTGTGTAATTGGTTAAATTATAAAGAGTTTGACTTTACGTCGCCGTCAGCTTGATAATGTTGGGTATATTAAAGAAATGAGTTTAGGAATGAATTATAACAATATAAAACTTACTTTTTATTGTACAATCGATTACAGTTATGCAGTTTTTATATTTATTCACAAAAAAAAAAGGAACGTTTTATTATCTTTTGTATATAACTGGGACACTACCAGTAAATACATATGTATATTATTTATTATTAACAGTTCATTAACATTTATCTTAGTTACATATTCGCATGCAATTTAGGCTTTCCTTAGTTAGAGGGAAGTGTTTCCAACATTTTACTCTTATCCAAGAGAAGCCTATGTTGCACCTCAATCTAAACAAGTATCACAGCATACATTTTCCACTAAATATCTCCATGTTCTGTTACCTCACCTCTTTGGTAGGTGGTTTCAACGGTATCTTACCGAAGCTAAACTTCTCTGCTAAATACATACTCTTCTCGTCGTCCGTTAATTGATTGTCCATGGAGTAAATACTTTCATCGATAATGGCCGTTATTGTCGCGGTGTACGTTGGCTTTCCAAACGGCCCGCTCGAGGCCACCGTTGTAGTGTTAGACGTTTGACTCTGTGCGAAGCCTCCAAATGGAGAAGCACTTTGTTGTACTCCAAATGGATTCGCGGTTGTGGTAGTAACTGTAGCGTTCGTAGACGCGAATGGCGAGGTCTGTATTTCGCCAAATGTGGACGACGCGAAGGGTGAAGTAGTGGTAGGAGGTGTACCAAAAGTGGCGTTAGTATTCGTAGTACCAAATGGTGCACTAGAGGATGTAACGGTGGTACCAAACGTTTCACCAGCGGTCCCCGAGCTCATGCCAAACGCAGGCTTTGAGAAAGCAGTTGTATTGGTAGCGTCAAATTGGGACGTCGCGGTGGAGAACGGACCAGCAGTGGTAGACGACGTTGTACCAAAGGGTGCAGCGTTGGGTGTGGACATGGTAGGCGCAGTATTCTGGGCACTACCAAATATACCCGCGGCTGGTGTAGAAACGGTAGCACCGAAAGCATTGGTAGGTTGAGCGGAGCTGAAAGCAGGCGTTGCGGTATTAGACGCGCCAAAAATGCCAGCGGACCCTCCGAACGTTGGTTTCTCGCCGAACATCGGGGCAGCTGTGTTTCCGAACGTTGCGGCACCACCAAAAACTGGTGCTCCTCCGAAAGCGGGTACCGTCTCGGCTTGAGAAAATATTCCAGAATTGAAAGTGCCGGATGAAACGGCCGTTCCGAATACGGGATTCGAAGTTTGTAAAGTTGAAGAACCACCGAACGGATTGGGTGTAGTCGTTTTGGCTCCACCGAATATGGATGCACTAGGCTGAGAGGAAGTGCCGCCACTGAACAGAGAGGAGGGAGACGTTGCTCCGCTATTGAATGCCGAAGTCGTCGACTGTGACGTTTGAGGTCTAGCAAACACATTATTCGCTTGATTCGATGATCCAAATACACTAGGCTGTCCGAAAACGGGCTGTGCAGCTCCGCCGCCAAAAATTGAACCGGACGATCCGAAAGTCTGGGTATTTTGTCCTGTATTAAACGCGGGAGCGTTTGTAGTTGCACCGAATACAGGATTGGTACTGGTACCTCCGCTACCGCTGAACACACCTAAGTTACTGCCAAATGTTGGAGCACTACCAAACACAGGATTCGAAGTTGTAGTTGTTCTACCAAATACTGATGTGTTGTTAGGGGAAGCGAAACCTCCACTAAATGGATTGCTTTGACTCCCGAATGTTGTTTTATTTCCAAATACATTAGAAGATGAAGTACTGCTTGGAAGTCCAAGTTGAGGTGTTGCAAAAGAGAAATTAGACGATTTACCAGACGTCGTTTCGCTTGTACCTTTGTGACCTGTTCCTAAAATCTCTTTCTGAAAGAGGAAAAATCATCTGATATTGAAAATTCATAAAAAAACAATACAACTTTTATATCGCATTTTACATACTAATTTTGTTAATGTTTCTCTGGTGGGATTTTTCAAAGCATCCCTTTTTGCTTTCACGTCTTGACACAGTTGTTGAAAGTGTACTTTCTAGGAAAGAACATAATGAAATTAGTTTTTATAATAACTGATAATATTGAACATAAAAGACTATCAATTGTATACTAACTGCTTGTTCAACCATTCCATTTTTTTGAGCCTGATACATTTCCCACCGTACTTCTTCTGGGGACAAATCTTCCATACCAGGAATACATGGTTTGTCCTTAAGCGGTGCAAAACAGGATAACAACCACTGTCCTCCCCTTTCGGCACTAAGTATCTCTTTTGCAACGAGAACCCTAGATTCAAAATAAAACGTTTATAAACGTATTCGAATTTGACGCAAAATAATTGCAAACTTTTGCAATACATACACTGTATATTCGTCTTCATTGTACGACTCCTTGTTAGTGTTTGCTGTAAATGGAACAATGGTAATGTCAAAATGAAAAAAATATGCAACGTTGTGTATGAAAATTTCAATCTTACCAAATGTATTTATATGATCAAACTGACAGTACTGTCCAAAACGGCAATTGCCTTGTCGATAATATTTACAAATAACCATCGTGTACGTGACTAAGCGGGTTTAATCTTGTTATGAAATTCTCCGCATTTCGCATTGACAACCATTTACGAGTAGGTCGTTTGTCGTAGTTCCACGTAGTCCACAGCAGAGTGCGTGACCATTTCAGTTTAGTCTGGGCATTTTGATTTTGTGTTTTCTAAAAAGTGGTTGTTTCGCGTAATTTATTACATAAATATCTTCGAATAATTATTTACGCGCGAATCTCGGTTTACTCTTATTCTACATAAAATTTTTCGAATCTTTCCTTTTAAGTCTAGTGATTTGAATGGTCATCACGTGATTGTCTAGTCACTGTTATGTGCAAATTTATAACATTTCGAACAAAAAGGAGTAGTATTACGGGATCGTTAGAAATATAAGTAGGGGATAAAATTCATGAAGAAATTAAAGTATCATTAATCCGGTTGATTTAATCGACGATAAGAGCTTTCGAACATTCGCATAGAACGGAATTTGCCAATCGTCATCGTTTAATGCATTTCATTACGCACGCTGCTGGAATGCAGACGTATGCGTAAAAACACTGCGATGATATTTCGCAGGATGTGTTCTGAATTTATTCAAGTTTGCTGACAATCTGTGTTTATTTTCGTTGGGATACGTGCATTCGTAAGATATACGAACGGATACTCGTTATCAGTGAAGTTCGGAACACGCCCCACACGCCGTTGAACCTGAACCGGCTGAACCCAACCCCTTGATATGTACAGAACGTAATGTGTCATTTTTCACGTGTTTCCGTGAACTTTTCGTGAACGGAGCGAATTGTTAAAAGGGACACGACGGTATCGCATTTGGATTTGAAATACGAGAATTATCGTTGTTCCTCAGCAAGATGGTAAGCGCTTTTCCATGATCTTCGCGAAATAGGTTATGGCGATCTATAGTTCACGAAACGATAAATTTCTTTATCGAAGATGCACGGTGTGCACACAGTCGCGGTTTATTTGCTTTTTCGATAAGTTATTTTATAAGAATACATAAATTTATTAATACAGTGCCAAAAAGTGTGGTTATATCACCACCCAGAACATATTTGTCGGTATTGGTTATAATTTATTGTTAACATTTTTCTTTTTTTTACAGTCGGGAACGCTGAAACCTTACCTGACAGCGGTAAGGCGAACACTTACCGCTGCTATGTGTCTTGAGAATTTCTCGTCCCAGATAGTAGAGAAACACAACAAGCCTGAAGTCGAAGTGAGAGCCAGCAAAGAACTTCTTCTGACACCAATATTAATAAGCAGAAATGATAAAGAAAAGGTGCTAATTGAATCGAGTATAAACAGTATGAGAATAAGCATCGCCGTGAAGCAGGCTGACGATTTAGAGAAGATTCTATGCCACAACTTCACAAGATTTATGACGATGAGAGCAGAGCATTTCATCATTCTCAGGAGAAAGCCAGTAGAAGTAAGAATTTCTTTGTAAAATCAAACGATGATTTTTTAAAGTTTAAGAGAAAATTTAATGTGGCTAAAATTTTTCATATATTTACGCAGGGTTATGACATTAGTTTTTTAATTACAAACATCCATGTAGAACAAATGTACAAACATAAAATCGTAGACTTTGTCATTCATTTCATGGAGGAGATCGACAGAGAGATCAGCGAGATGAAGTTATCAATGAACGCTAGAGCTCGCATTTGCGCGGAAGAATTTTTGAAAAGGGTCAGTATTCGGATGAAATTAAATATACCAATAATCATCGGTGTTGATTGAACTAGTATTTTTTGTTCCAGTTTTAATTTCTTGGACACAGTGTGTGACCAACATAGCAATAATTGCAAAACGCCAGTTCGCTAAAAGGAAACAGTGCCCATAAGTTAAGCCGGTTGATTAAACCGGGCGTATATTATGGATAATTTCCTCTAACATACCCGAAACGGCCCTTATCCAACAACCGCCAATCCCTGCTGTTCTCCAGTTAACGAAAATCTATTAAAATAAATTTTTCCACTTAATCGATGTTATATCCAGCCGTGTAACGAGTAACAAGTCTGACGTACATGTAAGTACAGCAACGATATTAATTGAACGCTCGCGTACAAATATCAGGTCGTTCATTCTCCTAAAGAAGGAAACGATAGGTGAAACTGGCATTCGTTCAAAGATCGTGCCGTTCTAAAACTAATTCCCAAGTCCGAGGTATAAATATCGAAAATGACGAAACCTGTGAAAATCACATTTGTAAAATTTTCACACGACGAAGGTGACTGGTATCGATGGGAGGGAGAGATATATCAAGGTAGACTTCTTTTTCGAGTCTAGATCATTTTTTCTTCTTATAATCGTCTTACGAACTTCAACGATAATCTGCCCACGGTGTGTGTAGATTTTTACATATGCAAAATAGATATATATATATATATATATACCAACGAATAAAGTATCACCATGGACGAATATCTTTTCTTATCAAGATACTTTAGTGATATCGGTTGAATCGTTACTTACATAATTGAACAATATCGTGGCGTATTTTTACTTGAAGTTCATAGTTAACGGGAGAGGAGAATATAAACACAGATACACCGGGTATGAAGACGGGAATACAGAAGCTTATTTTGTCGGTTATTAGGGACACTTTTTATGGACGTATATACAAGGTGTTCGAAGCGTAAGCAATTATAAGATCAACTGACGTCCACCAACACACATAACACATACAAACTGATATCCTAACACATTGAACAACTGCCAAACATCGTTTAGCATAGCGAAAGAGGGACTGTAATTACGATTGTCTTAATCAGTACGATAGCGCTAAGGAACCAAGGGGTATTCTTTATTGTAATTACGAGGAAAAAAAAAAAGTTTCATTATCTTTGTGCAACGCGTGTGGAGCTCTTTGCACATCGATTTCCATTTCTTTCGGGATTTTTGAACGGTGAGACTAGCGGATAGTTTCACGAGAGTAACTTCTTTTATTTCTTCTCCTTTTACACGGTCAGACGAGCAATTTGGCAAATGCCTAATCTGTTGTACAGAGCAGGAAAATGTTGAAGTACGTGCTTCACTTGAACAGCCACGATCGCAATGAGAAAGAGTGAGAGGAAGAATGAGAGAGAGAGAGAGAGAGAAAAAGAGAAATAGAGATAGAGGCGGTGTATGCGTAAAGCGTGCAATTCCTTTTTTTGCATTTATAAAGTTCTATTTATCTTACGAGTCATTGTAACCATATGATTTAATACTAATGTAAATATAAATAAACGAGAAGAATCATCGTGAGGATTGTACCTTGAGCATCCTTCAAACAGGAAACTATTTCTTTTTTATAGTTTCCATGACATGTATGATTCTTAAATTAACTATATTATCTCTCGGTCTTAAAGTACACCTGAACTTCCTCTCTTCTTTCATCAATTCTTTCCCAATTCACTCTCAATCGTTCCATCTTTCTCTCTGTTACGGGTCACGATTGACCCGGTTATAATTGTTGGGGAGTTAAGTAATAATTTGTGAATTTTTTAAAAGGCCCCTTCGCGACGCAACACGATCAGCAACGAGTCAAATGTCCCCCTCGAAATCCGTCACGTTTCACAATGACTCGTCTTCTCATGGAGAAGGGTGCTCTGGTAGAGGCCAGTCGGTCTTTCATACCGTTCACCAGTAGTCCGCGAGTTTTCCGACCAAGAAGTGTCGCTTCGTTTATCGCGTGGTTCCCCATTTGTATACTCGAACCCCTTCAGTGATGTGAACCCCCGTATACGCGAACTTAAGTTTAACATTCTTTATGTAAGCAGAAGAATTATCCATACTTGCGCGGGTGTGATTGAAATTAGGGTACAATTCGATCTCGCGTTATTAGTAGTTCAAAGAAGTATCAAAGTCTGAGGAATACTTTTCGAAAGGTATTAGAAAAATCTTGAAAGGATCAACGACCTGAAAATATAAACCGATAAAAGAGAGAAGGCCGACCGTAGAATCCTGTGACGTTAGCGGAAACTTTTAATCCGGCAGTGTCGTCTCGCGACCAGTTACAAACTTTTCAGCTAGGAGGGTGGTAGGTGGTAGTTTCGCGATGGGGGTGGCACGTAATCTCGTTTAGCGGCCACGATTTCGAGATTACCGCGTTCCAGCCATTTTCCAGGGAATGCTGGAAGATTGTTGACAAACTTCCACCGTCGATGGACCGGTAGAAGGGGGTTGATATTTCCTCGTAACAGGGGTTTTAGCCACGCTGATCCCTCCCGATCGCGGAGCAAAGGGGGCAAAGTCGGTTTCTAGCGGAGACCTTCGAGGTCTACGGTGCTAATTCCTAACGAGCGACCAAAAATACACCGAAAGAGAGACAGAGATACTGGTAGCAGAGACGCGGTGGCTGTAGATAGCTAGTAAGATGAAGCAGGTAGAAACGAGGCTTACGATTAGTCTTCTTTTATTACCACCCCTCTTCTTTAGATTACTCAACAATTTTCATCTTTTACAATGATTTACATATTTATTCATATACCCTGGATGTTTCAAAAAGAGACTTAAAAATCATATTTTCTTCTTTCCGGTACCGTGGCTCTTCCGACTCTCCCCTTCTAATCTCCCCCATCGTTCTGCTCTCTCTTTCTATTTATCTCCCCGCGCTCTAATTCTTCTTCTTTTATTTCCTCCCCTACTTTTCCTCTCTCGATCCCTCAAACTCAGCTGTTCCCTCTCCTTCCTCGGTTTTTCACGAAAACTCTCCTCGTCGGTCTCCTCCGATTCTCCCTACCTCTGTCTCGGTCTCTCCCTCCCGTTGTCAGGCGTCGCGACGCGGCGCGCTCCCGTCGAGCTTGCGCGACGCCGACGCCGACGCCGACGCCGACGCAGCGCCGGTGGCTCGGAGTCGGCGTAGTCTGGGCTCTGCCGTCTCCCGAACGGGAACGGGAAACGGGAACGGGAACCTAGAGAGGAAGAAACCGGGTGTTCGTGGACGTTCTTCCTTCGTCGTCGTTGTCGTCGCCGATTGGAGGCATAATTTTTGCAAATTTTTCTCGCTAAAAAAAAAGAAAAGAACGGAAAAAATAAAAAAAAAAAGGGAGAAAGACTGTGGATCGGTAAGGGTTAAAAGCCGGTGGCGGAAGGTAGGGAAAAGAACGAGAGGGAGGTAGTGAGGGAGCTGGTAGAGGGAGAAGGGCAGAGAAGAGGGGCAGGTTAGGATAGGGTAGGGGTTTTGGTAGCCAGAGGGGCAAGAGAGGGAGGAGGATAGGTGTACCGAAGAGAAAGAAAGATAGCGTAGCGAGCCGTGTCTTGCGTGCCACGAGAGAGAATACAGAGAGGGCCTGTAAAGTCGAGAGTTAGGAGTCGTGGCTCGTGGTTAGATAGGATGCGTGTGCCTGGGTGCGGTGTTCCACCACCACCCGACAGCCGCGAACGCGAACGCGAACGGTTCAGCAACGAGGAGACGAGCAGCAGCAGCAACGCGACGAACCGCGGTTACCACTACGACGTGGTTACGAGCAGAAACGCGTACGGCTGCGTGGTGATCGCGCGCGATCAGCGGACCAAGACGCGATCTGCTGGGTGCCGGACAGCCTCCTCGAACCGCATCGGCTCCGGGGACTGTCTGACGGCGGAGACAGCTCGGCACAGATCAGCGGAACAACCGGCAGAGATATCGTGGAACGGACATCTCGCGCCGTTCTCCACCAATTATCGTTCGTACCCCACGAGAAAATCGTCTTTCGCGCCTCGGTACTCGTATACCGGCCACTGGTGCACCTGGAACAACGCGTAGTCGAACCAGCAGGCTGGTCCAACCAAAACGCATCCCCTGCGCGAAACGTTTCCTGCTGATACTCGGCGTACGGCGGCGTCAGGACGACGCTACTAGCGGGCACAGGCTTGCTGGAGGACCGTCAGCGCGGTGCAAGCCGGCTTCAGCCTGTACCTCAGCCGACGTCCCAGCTACTCATGTTCATCCCGGACACACTGAGGAGCTGCATGGTGGAACCGGATGTCTCGACTTACCTGCAGGCCCCTTCCGTAGGACAGGTGGTTCTTACGACTTTCTTCTTCCTCGCGTACACCCTACTCGCTATCGGTGCTCCAGCTGAGCCTTTAACTCTTACGACCCCCTGCTACCGGTACCCCGTTGTTCTGTGTCCTATGTGCTGTACGCTTATTAGACATCCTGTGCACCAGCTTTCTTCACGCTTCCGCGTCCTTTGCTTTCCGTTTTCATTTCACGTTAGTCTATCGATCTCGTGCATTTGTTTTGAAACGCGCCGCTGCTTTGTTTGCTACACAGCAGACCAACGGTGTGGACGCGTTGATTGCCATGGGGGTGCGACCATGTGTAATATAGTATAGTGATGATTATCGAGGATACAAGGATTACAAGGGTGCATTTGCACCTTGACAACGTTAAATTTGAAGCATCAGTCGTCGAGAACCACCGTGGCAATCAGTGTGTTTCAACCCAACTACCTTTCCCAATTTATTTCAAAAGTTTAACTCGTTTAGAAATATCTGTACCTACTATTTTTTAAAACATTCCATTAGCGTAAATTTATAGTGGGAATGGTGACACTCGAAGGGACAGTTTCTTTGAGAAAGGGGGTTGAAAGACGTCGGGAGAACACGTGCGTCCAGCCAGGTTTCTCGAGCCGCGATTATTGCGACGGATCCGTAGACGTAAACACGAGTGTTTTGTTTGAACACGTTTCATTTTGATACAGTTTTTCATGGAAACTCGTCGATTTATCGTGATTCATCAGTTTAGCTTTGCAAGTGCATCCTCTGAATATTTTTCCTTGAAAATTCTATTTCTTTGTAAAAGGGATATCGTTGCAAAGACACTTAACAAAGCATTGATTTAAAAGAAGAAAAATAGAGAGGGAAAAGAATGTGACGAGAAAGGGTATTAACGAAGAGGGATCCGCTTATTACGCGAGAGGGTGGCAATATTCGTGGGATCGTTTGCAACGCGTTGATGTCGATACACGTATAAATAGGCTGGTGTGTTGTTTTGTATATAGGGTAGGATACATATGTAGGATGGCGCACACGCGAAACTGTCTGGTATTGTTCCGCGTGCCTGTCATATATCCCGATGGCGGCCGACTTCGTTCCCCGTTAGCTCGTCAGCTGATTTTCGGCAATGCAGCTTTCGTTTTCGTGACGCGCTTTCGCGAACCCGTTTCCCTGCTGTAATTATGTAAGGAAACGCCTATTTATACCGATAATCACGGCTCTTACGTAACACCAAACGACGGTTCGCGTCACATGCTTCTCTCTAACCACTCTAATTTTTTATATTTAGATTGCATTTGCTCTTGCGTCGCGATCTTTCTTTTATTTTTTTCCTCTTCGATCATTGGGAACGAAGGGTAGATTCGGTGGGTTTGTTTAACGAAAAAACATTAGGGGGTTGAATTCGAATTTATTCGAATGAATTGGAACAGAGGTGGAATTTACAAGCAAACGTTCTTGCACGCCGATGACGATTCGGAGTAATCAAAAAGGGATTCGTCTGGTTGCTCGCTTCTAATTGCTGCCAGTTTGGGGAAACAAGGTGGTGAGGAAGTTTCGAGAACACTTGGACGCGAGAATCGGAATTTCGGTAGCCCACTTAGGCGGTGAAATGTCGCGTGGATATAGCCGGAGAAGAAGGTTCGTTGTCCGCGACAACGTCTCCAGCAAACTTAGAACAGTCATTAGCGCGACTAACGCGTTATTTACTCTGCATGGTGTCCCTCTTTCTCGCGTTATCCTAATATTTCTCGATCACTATGTATTGTAATTGCTTGGGAAATTAACGTTACGGAAGACGAACAGTCTGACGTGATTTCATGACATAAAAGTATCTCGAAATACGTCTCACGATCAACAGTCAATTTCTCTGAACCTTGAGCTATAAATCGACGTGCCATAAGTGCCATATCGGTATAGTTTTATGTCATGAAATTGTATCCATTATTAGCCTCGTACGAAACAGTAATATTTCTCAGCCGAGTGGGTCACAATTGACCCGGTTGTCATTCGATCGAAAGAAATGTTAATTTTCTAAAGAAACGAATCACCGTGCATAGATGTCCATTTCACAGCAGACGAACAGGAGTTTAGCTATCGATCGCGTGTTCACCCTCTCTCACCCTCTTCTTTTTCTCGCCGTTTTCCTCTTCTGCCGCGCTTCTTCGTCGCCACCCTCTTCTTCTTTCCTCCTCGTCCTGCTTCTGGGTCCGCTACAACCCACGCGGTCCGGCAAAACACGTTTCTACCAGTGTCCAACTGTCAACCCCATCCTCAACCTTTATCCTTTGTCCGCTGCGTCTTCTTTGGGCTGGAGACACCCTCTTCCGGTTCTTCTGGAACATTTTAACCCCTCGCCATTTTCCTACATTTCTTGAAAAATTTATGGCAATTTTAATTTAGGAAATTCATAAGTTAACCCTTTCGCTGGCCATGGTGGTCACCGATGACCATCACTTGTATCGTTATTTTAAAATTTTTAATATGAAATTTCTGGTCCACTGGTGCAAGTTGAGAAATTCTCCTGGCAGCGAAAGGGTTAAAGTTTGATAGGAATATTCTTCGAATAGAATAGAAGAAACGGCGAGCTATTTTTCTATCGATTTTTAAAAAAACGATCGATCGCAATGGAAAAATTCGTTTCATTGTTTTTTCGCGGGTTTGTCGACGCGGAAAACGGTGGCTAGGACAGTGCGCACCTGGGGGAATTGGAACGTGGCAAGAATCAATTTTGTCCTGACTTCTTCCCGTCGAGTTCCGCGCAATTTGCCGATCATCCCTTGGGAGTTCCCTTGTTAGGCACGAGCGCGCACTGTCGCAGTGTAAATTTTACCTTTGTCGACTGACTAAACGCGACAAACAATGTTCTGTTCCGTTTTACCTATTATTCATAACTTCGAGTATATTTAATTAAATTAATTAAATAGGCTCTTTAGTACGCCCCTTTCCCTAGGGAAGTCTACGAAAAAGGGTGGGTACCCTGGGGGTGCTAAACTTAAAAAAAGAAAAAAACAAAAGAAGAAAGGTCTAAAAGAGTTGCGGTCCAAGAGATAGTCGTTGGAGAAGCGCGAAACGTTGGATGCGTGAGGAGGGCGTCGCGGATCGTCGGCGGAGGGGTAGGAAAAGAAAGAGTGGGGGAGTCGATCGCGTAAGGGAGGATGGGAGGGATATTTCGAGGAGAGGTAGAAGTTGCGTCGGTTCGAGGGCAAATCTAGTAAGCTAGGACAGAGGCTATTAATAACTGTTTGGGGTGGCGTACCTGGCCGCCTCGCGATGCCTTCGCCGCGCGTCTAGATACGCGCGTCTCCACGACCGGCGTCTCAGTGTCGTCGCGACGACCGACGTCGTGCCCGTCGTATCCGTCGTTCCGGCGTCGACGGTTTTACTCGGCCCCGTATTTTTCTCTTTCCCTACCGTCTACTCGTGTCTTTCTCGATTCCCTGTGGCAATCCCCTTCGTTTCTTTACCGAGCAGAATTTATACGCAGTGAATTTATACGTCGTGCGACGATCTGCTATTTAAATTGCTGGATCAGTGATCGGCAGGGACTGGAATCGTTCTCTTTGTGGTGTCAGCTGATCGCGCGAAGTTGAAATTCTTTTAGTTTAGTTCTTTTCAACGCGAGTAAGTAGTCTCGCGACGCGGCTCGATTTTCATCGTTTCGTGGACAAAATTGCACACGGTGGATGATAAGAAATTTGATCGTGGCTTGATCCGGTTGATCGTGAACGAAGATTTTTGTGGGAAACGGCAGTGCGGAGGAAACGTATTCCCCGTCGACACGTCGCGATAAACAAGACGCTCCGCGCAGAATCCGCGCCGATTTATTGCCGACAACTACGCACCAAAAGTCTCGGTGCAAATAGATGCTCAACGAGACACGTGCGACTTGCTCGAAAACCATCTTCACCACTTTCATTCTCATTTTCGCGATGAAATTGAACTTTATTAATGGTGAAATCACTCTTTCTCTTAATTGAACATTGAAATCTTAGAAGTTTAGAGAATAATTCTTTGAAAGCGAATTTTAGGGATACCCGAGATTTTATGATCGATACCGTTTCAGACTTCCGGGGTGCTGTGTTCTATCGTACGTTAGACCCGGCGATGAATTATCTCGCGTTGAGAAACTTCTAAATATCGTGCCATTAATTTTCACATTGTGCTTTACAACATTTATATCAGGGATTTTTCGATGAAATTTAAGATGCTCTTCCGAATAAAAAACGGGAACGGTCGACATTTATCTTTGCGAAGTATATTGTTGTTAGAACTTGCACCTTTCTCGAATATAAATCAGTCTTTATTGAGACAGTATTTTGCTTTTACAATCTCTGCAAATTTAGTTTCTTAGGCAGGAAAACTACCTTAGAGACAATGCAAAATTTATACGATTTATTCTTCGGTTAATTTATCCCTTGGTTAAAATTTTCTTCATTTTTAATCGGAACATCGTCGAGCGGTTCATCGACCCTTAGTAGTCAGGGAAAATACCGAACGCCTACCCTCGGCCGCGTCCTTGTCCGCCCCTGATGTTTTCCGCGATGACAACGGGTCGCCGCGTCACCGTGCGCCTCCTTAACGTCTTTGATTTTCGTTCGCGTCCAAAAATAACGAGGTGTCGTATAGATAGTCACTCACACGATCTTCGTTCACACGCGAGCCTTCCGCTTCGCCTTGTGTTCCTTTAAAGCGAGTCCGGTGACAAAGCGAGCGAACGCGTCCGACACGCTCCGAAAATCTTCTTCTCTGACGTACTCGTCCCTTTTTTCTTCTTATATTCGAAAACAATCCACTCCGCGGACTGCTGATTGATATCGAAGAAAAATATTTCTATTCCTTTTCCCCGTTTCGAATAAGAAAAAGTAAAGGCCACGATCAAGTTTCTCGCGCGAAGGAACCGGGGGAATAAGATCAAAACGTACGTTTTCCCCCGCAGAGAAAGCAGGAAGTGAACGTTTGGAAGAATCGAAGGAAAAAATACAAAAAGAAGCGGTGACGGTACAAGCTTGTCTCGTCGAAGAAGCCAATAAATCCTCGGGAAGAGAAGGTGGACGAGGAAGGAAACCCTTGTGCTCGCCTCTGCCTCTCCAACGAAGCATGCTAACGAGAGGCGAGCATCGCGAAAGAAAGCTTCGTTGAAACACAGAAAAATTCAGTCGAATTTATCCTGGGAATAGGAACGCGAAGAAAAGGGTAGATCGAGCTCGACTCGATTGTTTGGAGAGAAGAGGAAGAGATAGAGAAGATAGAGTTAGCGCAGATGAGGCCACGATCAATCTGCGACAGGGTGGCGGAGGAGTATTACGAGCCCGACGGTTGTTACTGCGAAAATCGGTGCTTCTGACAGCCGGACGGCAACAGGGACAGACAGACGGTAGTGTGCCACAGCAGCCGCAGTGCTTGCGAATACTCGATGGTTCGTGTCGTTTTGACGCTTCTTCACAGGCCCAGCCTCCGTGTGTTCCCCTTTCAATCCATCGCGAATCCTTGCTTTCAACGTGCGATCGGGTCGTTTGAGAACGTTCGAATGTGTGGAATTAAATCTGAGTTCCCTATAGAAATAATTTTTCACCCTTGAAACCACCCCTTTCTTAAAAGTAGCTGCCTTTTCCCGTAACTGCAGAGTGTAGGGGTTTAAAAGTGGCTGTAAGTTATCGAGATCGATCCGCAGAGAGTTCAACGATGGATTCATCCTCGTAAAATGATGTTTACATCCGTTTTCACGATAAACGAGGGGGTTGCTCGCCGGCATTTCCCTCACAAAGGAATTCGTTCTTCCAACGATCGACAGAATCTCGAGAAGTCTTCTTTTTCTCGTTCTGCCGACCGGAAACTGAGATTCCCCGGCGTTTCGATTCCGGAACGGCTCGAAGCTACGATAAGGGAAAACGGACGAGTTTCCTTCGGACGTCCGTGATTTTTACTCGTTTCTTTTATCAAGAAACTGGAACCTTGCTGGTTTTTCTTTTTGTAATTCAAAGTTTTCTCTTAAATTTCGATCGACCTCAAAATAGGGTGGATAAAGAAAGGGTTAATTTTGGCAGAGTATGAATCGCTGCATGGATGAATGAAATTGACCTTGCACGAAGGCTGATCCATAAATTTTGTTAAATCTATGCATGCAATTACATTCGAAAACGAAGTAACGGAAATTCTTTACTTCGAGAGCGAGAGAATAAATATTATCATTTCTTTTTCTCGTTCTCGATGGGCACGGTACATAAACCAGTCGCGTTGTACCAATCAGTCTGTTGTCGTCTGTTCGCAGGATGAGTTCCATCCATTCATTGAGGCCCTCCTACCGTTCGTGAAGTCTTTCTCGTACACGTGGTTCAACCTACAAGCCGCCAAGAGGCGTTATTACAAGAAGCACGAGAAGCGGATGAGTCTCGAAGAGGAACGCCAGTGCAAGGAGGAGCTCCAGGTAAGCGACGTTATTTCAACCCTTCTGCAATCATTTTCGTTCGATCTTTAAGCTTTGCGTTCCGATCGGACTTGATTCGAGAAAATAGCGAAATAAATAAAACAGAAAGGTGGTGGTGAAAAGTGAATGGAAACGATCGAACTCTCGATATCGAGGAAAGTTTGGCGCTGGTATTCGACCCAGTCGTTGACATTCGAATTTTCAACCGGACCAGAATCTTCCTACTTCCTTTCATTTTTTATTTCTCACTGCGGCACCCTTCGCCAACCTCGCTAAGTGGGCAGAAATGGGGGTACGTGGAATGGGTTCGTCGATCCGTTGGAAACAGACGTAGAGATTTTCTCCTCTATCCACCGCAATTCGTATTCTCCATCGCGACGGTGTTCGATCAATATTTTAATTTCGCGATGCTGCGGTATTTAGCGTGTACCAAAAAGGGGATGGACAGACGTCGGACGGACGTCGATGCTCGTGGAAATAGAAAAGAAAAAAAGAAAAAAAAAAAAGAATTCCTCGAAACGTTAGAGAGGGAGAGGATCGATGTATCGCGAGTTTAGAGAAAATCGCTGGCCAACGACGACGGTTTTGTTTCTCTTTTTCCTTCGGACGATGATGGCCTCTGCTGGTATCGTTGAAAGAGCTTGCAAATCGAGGGGAAAACGTTGCTATTCCTTTTCTTTTTTTCCTCATTTCTCTTTGTTAAGGGTTCTACTGTGTCTGATGCTCGTCTTGATTGCTAACCGTTCGTTAGAACTCCAATTGAAGCGTTCTTTTCAATTTGGTTAGAGGGAACCTCGATTAGATTCATTGGTTCTTCGTTTCGAGTGAGAATCGATCGCGTTCCGAGGGACAAACAAAATATTTCCCTGGTGATATGGAATTTTTTTTCGTTCATTTTTTTTTTTTTTTTTTCTAAAAAGGAAAGTAACCCGGAGCCGGTAGCACGGGTCGCGTTGAATTTTACATGAAGTACATTTAATCTGCGTCGTGAGGAAGCCCTGCAGGGTCGGCCGAGCCCTCAGCCCCATTATACAGGCACACGGGGCTTTATGAAATTGTAAGCGAGCGGCAAAGGCCACTGGCCATAATCGACAATTCCATTTGCAAATCTAATCGACACCCAGCCGGTATTTTTCAACTAAACTTTCCTCAACAATTTTTCACCGGCGTTCAGCCAGCGTTCCGCTTAATTAAACCGACACAACTGGCCCTCTCTGTGCTGCCTGTCGCGTCAAAATGATTGAGCTTCCTAGGCGGACCTCTGTCTGATAACAGAGATTTTTTTTTTTTTTTTATTTACGCTATACGGTTATCTGAAAACTTCTCCGAACATCGAAAATAAAAGTGGCTCTACGGTGTTTTGATAATTGGAACACGTGGAAAGCGTGTTTTCCAAACATTCGCCACCGCCCAAGATACTCGATAAACGCACACCACTCATCGTTCGATCCGTTCGAGCTATCGTTTTTCCACGCAAACCGATCGATCCGCAGTTATCGCCGATCCGTCTATACGACGCGTGCACGTTACGCGTTTTTCTCTCCATGTATGCGGGTCGACATGAAATTTTCGAGCCGCTTTCTCGACCGCTCGACACTCCGTTCACGTACTCGCGGAGATGCTTTCCAGAAAGAGCCGAGGGGAAAAAAAGAAGAAGGATAAAAGAAAAGAGAGAAAAAAACAAACAAACAAGATAAAAATTCTGCAACTCGTTGACATGCGACACGATTCGTTCTGGAAAATTGAAATGGAGGTGACCGTCGACAGGGAGAGAAGAAAGATGTCTATTTTCTAATCGTTTTAGAATACGGCGATGTTTCTCTAGTTGGAATATTTAACCGGGTCACTTTCACCCGGCTCTACATATTTCTCCATTCGCATGTAGATTTCATACGTTCGATCAGCTTTGTTTCTATCGAAACTTCAATTTCTGATAGGTATAAATCAAATATACCAATGATGCATTTATTTACTTAAAGCTGGAAGGTGTTGGATCTGTCTGAAAATAGGCAGATATCGATGCGGCTGGTTTTTGTAGGAAACCCTTCAATTACAGATAAAAGTAACATCGCGAAAGTTTGAAGGTTCTATCGTGAGGTATTCGAGCTTGAAATCGTGACAGTAGAAGGCTTTAATTCCCAGCGGAATGCGAAATTGTCCCATGTCACGCGAATCTAATGGATACACGACACCCCGGTTAGGAATGCCCACTAATCACCCTTCTCCCTATTCGATTGCTAATCAGACAAATCTCAGTCGATGCATTTATTTACCAATAATATCGATCAAATATTAGCATAAGAAAACCCACGATCCATGGACCAGCAGATGGATCACGATGGTAGCGAAAAAACGGTGTAAAAAGGAGAGAGTAATAGGTGGAGGAATGCCCAATAATCACCCTTCCTCCTGTTTAATTGCTAATTAGACAAATCTCAGTCGATGCATTTATTTACCAATAATATCGATCAAATATTAGCATAAGAAAAAATCCTCGATCCATGGACCAGCAGATGGTTCACGATGGTAGCGAGAAAGCGGTGTAAAAAGGAGAGAGTAATAGGTGGAGGAATGCCCAATAATCACCCTTCCTCCTGTTTAATTGCTAATTAGACAAATCTCAGTCGATGCATTTATTTACCAATAATATCGATCAAATATTAGCATAAGAAAAAATCCTCGATCCATGGACCAGCAGATGGTTCACGATGGTAGCGAAAAAACGGCGTAAAAGGGAGAGAGTAATAGGTGGGGGAAGGGTTGCTGTAAAGAGAAAAAAGGAGGAAAGAAAAATTCTTGGGTCGGGCAGGGGTGGTCGAGGGTGGTCCGAGTCCGTCGTTTTCTCTTAATTTCGAGACAGGCCGCAGGACGATATCGACTACTTCAATTCCGTAGCACGGCTGACGGGGGTGGGAAGAGCGAACAGGATGAAAGAGACGGAGAAGAATGCGACGGGTGAAAGAAAGACAACGAGAGGGTGGATGAGAAGACAACACTGGATGTAGAGTCCGAGAAACAGAGAGAAAGGTAGAGACAGAGGGGTAGTCGGTGGTAGAAGGATGAGGATTTCGAACGAGGAAAAGACGGAAGATCCGTGTGCAGACTGGGACAGAGATATCGTAGGATGTGTACAGGGTGTTAACAAAGTGACGCTCGTAGATTCGCGTCAGCTGGACACTTGGAAAATTAATTGAAACGCTGGCTGAATTAAATTCGAGTAATTGGATCTAAGTTTTGAAAAGTACAGAGAGTGATCAAATAATTAGAGCCATTCGCATGAATTGATTTTACATAAGAATGATTAATTCTTAAATAAAAACCGAGTTTTTCTTATTTCTTTATGATGTATTGATACTTGTAAAATTATGATACACAGTTGAAAAAAGTGAAAGTTCTTGATTGGCCTGGAAATTCTCTGGGGACCTCAACCCCATCGAAAATTTGTAGGAACATTTACTACTAATAATAAGAATTGAGGCAGTAATTACAGCAAAAGGCTTAATATACATGTGTAAATACAATCATTTAAATGTATTTGTTTATTTTTAAAAGTATTTTTTTACATATTATTAGTGAAGGATTATTGAATAACTTTTAATTCAATATAAAATCCTCAAAATTGTGGCTCTATTTCTACAGAAACACGAAAACCCCATTTTTCATACCGTGGCTCTAAATTCGATCACCCACTGTATAGATCCTTCTAAGGGTAGATGGGCCAAGTTCCAGATATCCAAACCTAAGTTTCTTCAATTCTCCCAGTTGCTATGTTTAAATAACAAAATAAAATTTTCGAAGGATAGCACAGCTTGTTTACCCTCCACCTTCCATATCGACACCCCGTTTCTCTGTAGGTTAACCCTGACATCGTTAGAAGGGGACTCATTTGTTCCTGATATCGATATCAGTGTGTTGATAAATTTCCTTGCAAACGTCAATGAGCATTACTTTCTTAACACCCTGTACGAGTGGTATCACGCGAGAAGAGGGCGGCAGACGGGCGACGGCGGGGGTGGAGAGTGCACCACCAGCAGCAGCAGTAGCAGCACCCGCAAGAAGTATCCCGGTACACGGGTACACACGAGCTTTTCGGGTGGCCAAAGAGTGCGAGAGAGAAGGGGAGAAAGGGTTGCATGGGCAGTTGACGAGAAAGAGAGAGGTGGATAGAAAGGGGTGGTAGTCGGCAGAGAGCGTAGACATGTAGCGCATACGCCGTCGCGACGGAGGCTGCGGCTACGCGGCGCCTACCAACCACCATCTATAATCTCTATGCGGATATCGATTTTCTACCCTGTATTTCCTAAATTTATGCAAACTAGCCGCCCGTCCTCTGCTACCACCCCACCGTCTGCCCTTCGGCCCAACCACCAAACCCTCCCCCGTCCACCTCGTGTTCTACCCTACACCTCTACAACCCTGTAATACGATCCCTCGAAAGTATCTATCCACCGTTAACACCTTATCTATTGCTCACTGAAATTTCTAGATTTAAATCCCTAAATCTAGGCATCAACTTTTACCCAATACTGTATAAACCCTTTCCCCTCTCCTGTCAACTCCCTTGTTTTCGACAATTCTCAGTCGCCCATCTATCTCGCTCATCCTCGTTCGTTTATAGGTGGAGGGGAGGTTTAGCAGCCACCCCCTTTTTGCTAGCCACGTTGGTTAGCTGGGTGTTGTTCGGTATGTGTGTCGGCCCCATTCATCTAACGAGCTCAAGCGGGCTATCGCATCACGATGCACCTCGCACCTCCTCGTCACGAGGAGGTGTATTCCAGTTTACTCTCTGGCCAGCCAGAGTAGAGGGGAGGGTTGGTAACACGGGCAGGAAACGGGAAGGGGTTGAGCACGTTGTTTTCGAGGGCTTGTTAATGTTGGATTATGTTTCGGCTTTCGGGTTATTAATTATCGATGCAGCCGGCTGGATTATGCGGTTCCTCGACCGGATTTTTCTGCAATTTTTTTTCGCCGGAAGGAGGGGGTGAGGTTTGGGGGTTAAC